ATATATATGTATATATATATATATATATATATATATATATATATATATAATATATATTTTTTTAATCAGTCAAGATTTAAATAAATAAATAAACTGTGCCGGCTTTATCATGAAATCCTGTTTTCACTTGAATGACTATTAAATAATCTGTTAGAGTTAACTCAGCTGAAAAATCATGAAAATACACTGAATTATTGACTCTCTCAGGATTATTTCCCTCAAACATGTTTAAAGAAGAGATAAAGATTTTAGTTCCAACTTTATTCTAACCCACAGATGTACAAATCACAAAAGAAAAAAACTTTAAAGCAAAGCTTAAATAAAATAATCTGTATACAAGAAGCAAAACCACATATCTTAACTGAACAATAAAAATATACAGAAAGAGTGCAAAAACATCAAATGATGAAGAAAAACTATAACATTTTAAATATAGATGTTTTTGTAGAATCTGGTTCATCAGAGATTTAATTCAATTCAGTTTATTTATATAGTGCTTCTTCTTAATATGTTTAGTGGTGGCTAGTAAATAGCTTAAGGGAGCACTACCGCCACCAGCTTGTAAGGCGATTTGGATTCTGGACCCCGCCTACAGAACCGGTTCTGAAGTGCATATGGAAATGCAACGTGCGCTGAGCTGAACTGAGCCGAGCCGAGCTGAACTGGTCCGTGCCGTCACTGTGGAAAAGGGGCAATAGAAACAAATGAGACAAACAACCAGTCACTCTCTCACTCATACCTAGAGACAATTTAGAGTTACCAATCAGCCTAACATGCATGTTATTGGTCTGTGGGAGGAAACCAGAGTACCTGGAAAAACCCACGCATGCACGGAGAGAACATGCAAACCCCACCCAGAAAGCCCCCCAGCCAGGATTTGAGTAAGGGTAAGTGCTCGCTGAGAGGCAGCAGCTCTAACAACTGTGCCACCGTGCTGCAACTTAAAAGCACAGGTGTAAAACTAAAAGGAATGCATATCACCCACTGCCTTCCACATCAGTTTTATAGACTAAAATCCTCCTACGCTGAGAAGGACCAGCCTAATTCTAAAGACAGCCATAATGTCACCCAAAAAGAGAAAAAATGGCAGAAACTCCAGAGATGATGGAGGAGTTTGTGTTGTGTTTGTGTTCCCAGGTGACAACTCTGTTCCCAGAGTGGAGAACGTCTTCTGGACATCCCTGGACTTCAAAACCGTTCTCACCTGGACCTGCACCCAACCTGAAAACAACTACACCATATGGTACTCTCAGAGGTAATGCAGTTTTGTTCTGTTAAAGGGATTGTTTGCTCAGTAGTTGGTATTTTATCAGTCCAGACATCAGCTGTAAATAAGTACTGAGAAAGAAGCTAAAGTTTTTATCCAAACTTTATCAAACAACTGTGAAAGAACGTTACAATAGCTAATAAAGTCTTGATAATGGCCTTCACAACATGACCAGTTTCACCCCAGACCACATCTGTACCCTGCTGGACCTTTGTCTGACTCTCAAAGGACCACAGTGTCATTGGTTCAGATACAGTATGTGAATGTCACTTGGGTCAAAATTCATGTGAAAGAAAGAAGAGTTCAACAGCCACATCCACTCTGTGGATAACATCAAGTTCAACAGAGAGGATGCCAACAACGAGCTACTGGACTGTTTGGTGGACGTGCAGAGAGATGGAAGTGTCAACATTGACGTTTACAGGAAACATACTCACACATATCAGAATCTTCTGTTTCAGTCTCACCATCCACTGGAACACAAACTTTACACCACCAAACATGCCCCCACAAAGACATAAGGAACTGAACAGTTTCAAAGAAGCTCTCCAAACTTGTGGCTATCCTAACTGGACCTTTGTCAAATCAGCAAACAATAAACAAAAACAAAATAAAGAAACAAAAAGGAAAAAAAGAAAACATGCTGCTGAACAGAGAGAAGAGCAAACATCATCCCAAATGTTGCTGGAAGATCTGAGAAACTCCAAACACAACATCCCAGTACATTTTAAATGCAACAGAACCTTCAGACAGTAGCTGGTCCATCCCAAGGACAGAACCCCTAAACCCAAACTGGGTGGTGTGGTGTCTACAGGAATTTTCAGTCCTCCATGTTGGAGAAACTAAACAGCCTCTCCACAGGGACATATGGCTCAACATCAGAGAGCAGTTCTTCAGTGCGACTCAGTGGTCCACCTACACCTCAAGGTTAAGGGAGACTCTGCTGAGGTCCAGATGTTGGACAGAGAAGACAGATGGTTTGGAGTGTGTGTGTGTGTGTGTGTGTGTGGGGGGGGGGGGAGGTGTTTAAGGAAGCCTTTTACATTAAATGAGAACTTTTTTTTTTGCCCACCCCCTTCAGATGTCGCCACAGCAAACTGTATGAAGGATGGCGTCCTCTAGTGGGCTTTTTTGTATCTGTACTCCCTAGTGTGACTCTTAATTATCTCTGATCGGTTCCACCCTTTTCTCGTGTCTAGCTGTTTGTAATTATGCCCTGTCTTGTCTGTGTATTTAAGTCTGTCTGTGAGTTCTGTTTAGTGTCAATTTGTCATGGGGTATGGTCTTGGCTTGTCCTGGTCCGGTCCTGTTTATACCCTGCTCTGTAAATGTATGCTGCCACGTCAGCCTGTTGATTTATTATTATTAAAAATATTTTTCCAAAAAAGTTAAATCTGGTCCTCTGGACATTCCAAAAAAAAAAACAAAGCAAAAAAATGTAGAAACGTTTCGTCTCTCATCCGAAAGACTTCCTCAGTCTGAGGTGCTGTATTCAGCTCAGTCTCTTAAATAGCACCTTCTCAAAGTGGATCAACCAGTTTGCTGCTGACAACCAAAACCAGATGCTCACATGGTCAAGAAGGAGCATCAACCTAACAATGGATCATTAGCACACTGATGGCTGTTTCCTATTCACAGGGGGTTGAGTGATACTAGCAATCACAGCATTGTAAGAGGGGGACAGTTGAACCCGGAGGCCTCCACCCCTGTTTAATGATGGACGATTTCTTTTCACAAAGATGGCCTCCTTTACTCCTCTCTCAAACCATCATTCCTCTCTGTCCAGGATTTGAACATCTTCATCCCTGAAAGAGTGACCGCTGGCCTGGAGATGAGTGTAGACTGTAGAGTCCTGGCCTGATGATGTTGATCTTCTGTGCTGGGCCATCCTTTTGGCCAGTGGCTGTTTAGTTTCCTTGATGTAAGACTGATCACAGCCCTCCTGACACTGAACAACATACACAATATTACTCTGTTTGTGCCAGGGGACTGGATCTTTGGGATGAACTAGTCTTTCATGTATTTTGGGGTTTAAAAGCCACTGGGACGTTATGTTTAGAAAATAAACGTCTCGGTTTCTCTGATACTCCCTCAACATACGGAATGACCACCGGTCTGGGTCTGGGTTCCTCCTTTTTGATAAATACATCAAGTTCACACGAGAAGATGTAAAAAATGTCAGGTTGGCTTTCTTGGACTGTGAGGTGTCAGTCTCTGATAGAGGACATTTGCAATCCAAGGTGTACCCCAAACCCACCCACACAGACCAGTATTTGCAGTTTGATTCCCATCACCCTTTGGAGCACAAGTTAGGAGTCATCAGGACTCTGTATCACAGAGCAGACAGCATCCCCACTAACTCAGGAGCCAGGCAGAAGGAGAAATCCTACACAAGACAGGCTCTAGAGCAATGTGGATATCCTAACTGGGCCTTCCTGAAAGTAGAGAAAAAACCCAAGCAGGACTCCAGTCAGCCAACAGGTGAAAAAAAGGAACCCAGCTTGGATTCATGTCTCGCCTTGGGTTCACGCCTCGCCTTGTGTCCACGCCTCGCCTTGATCCTTCACATCACCTTGGTCCTTTGCCTTGCCTTGGCCCTTTGCCTCGCCTTGGCCCTTCATCTTGTCTAGGCTTCTCACCTTGTCCAGGCTCCTTGCCTTGTCCAGGCTCCTTGTCTCATCCGTGCTCCTTGCCTCGTCCAGGTTCCTCGCCTCGTCCAGGCTCCTCACCAGTTGGGTGCTCTCCAGCATCCGTAGACCTGTTCCAGTGTGTTGGTCACCCTCCCGACCGTCTGGCCACCTGGTCTGCTCCAGCATGGGGGACGGCCTCCATGCCGCCCACCTGAACTTTGACCCAGAAATGGACGGCCTCCTGGCTGCCCACCCTGAACTCTGGCCTGACTAGGCACAGTCTCCTTACCATCCAGACATTTTTTTAATGTTCCTTGGTTGTGTTTAGTTTAGATCCCAGGTTTTGTCCTGATGGTTTTTTGTTTTTTGTTCTCGTGTTTTCCTTGGGCAGGAGGAGAGAGGAACCTCAAGGATGAAGGGCCCAAGTCTTTCGGGATGGGCTTTTTGGAGATGCCAGGGGGTGTCCTTGGGGGCAGGGTAGTGCAAGGATGGCACCCTCTGGTGGGCTTTCCTGTATCTGTACTCCCTATGTGTCTCTTAATTACCTCTGATCAGTTCCACCCTTGTCTCATGTCCAGTTGCTTGTAATTATGTCCTGTCTTGTCTGTGTATTTAAGTCTGTCTGTGAGTCCTGTTCAGTTTCTATTCATCATTGGGTATGGTCTTGGCTTGTCCTGGTCCTGTCCTGATCCTGTTCTGATCCTGTCTTGTTTATACTCTGCTTTGAAAGTTTATGCTGCCATGTCAGCCTGTTGATTTAAAATTATTTTATTTTACTCCGCTGAGTCTCTGTGTCCCTGCCTGCGCCATTGAGTTATACCTGCTCCTGCAAACCCTGACACAGATGTCTTTCCTGATACAACCATAGACCACCAAGCTACCACGGCCCTCTGTGTGGAGCAGAGAGTTTCCATCTAGGGTGCCCACGGGAGCAGATGGTGGGGGTTAAGGCCATGCTCAAGGGCCCAAAGTGGGGCAAATGAGGGTAGAGGCACGCGTGGGTTTTTCACCTTTCCCACTCGCATTTTGATGTTGCTGGGGGATTGAACCAATGACCTTCTGATCACATGCTTGCCCTCTCTCACCTCTATGCCACCACACCCCCTTACGTCAAAGTGAACATAATAATAAACAGAGGAGGAGGTCTCAGATTTCAACTTTCAAAAACTTACAGTGCAGCTTTAGGCCTAATTCCAGGTCAGCTCCAGTCCAATCCACACCTTCATGCAGGTAACCCAAACATCTGTCTGTGAGCCAGGCAGACAAAGAGCTTAACGAGCCTCCACTGTGAGGGCAAGTAGTTCCAGTCTAACCTGCAGCTGAATAAGTCCATAGCCAGGCCCCTCCTGCAGTTCTAGAGAGCTTGGAGCTGCACAGACACCAGATGTTTTAAAATTGATAAAGACTCACGGATGGAAAGAGAATGTCTTCAGCTTCAGAATAGAAGTCCAGTTTCTGTTTTTTGCTACTTTTTTGATTGACCATGACCTGGATGACAGATAATCTTCACCAGCACACTAATAAAACCTTACAAGTTTATTTAGCTGTTAGACTAGTCTGGACGAAGAGTGCTGCTTGGTTTTCCTCTATGACTGACTGATATGATGCTGAACTAATTATTGAAAAGTTTATAACAGAGCATCACTTCAAACAGTTTTAGACAACTTTATTTATCCCCAAAAGATAATTCAGTTTGTCAGTTCCCTGATTTCACTCTCTCTCTCTCTCTCTCTCGTGCGCATGCGTGAGCGTTTGCGGAGCAGGTGTCGGGTCCGACGTGAGAGTGACTCGTGTGAGTGTTAAACTTTTGTCTTTTTCTCTATTCTTTTCAAACTGTTTTCTTCTCTCTTTCTACCTATTCTAGTGTGGTAGTTTAGTTGAGAGGTTCTGACCCGGCTCGGTCCGGTGTCATGGACCACCGAGCAGGTGGCGCTGGGCTTGATAAGCTCAAGCGCCACCATGGTGTCAAACTTTGTTTGAACATGAACTGCTCTGTTGAGGACTGTGTGTTAGCGGTTGGAGAACTGGTTGGATGTGACAGTGTCAAGTCTGCATCTCGGATGAACAATGGAGTTGTGATCTTCTTAGACAGTGTAGACAAAGTCAACAAGGTTGTTGAAAAAGGTGTGGTGGTTCGTGACACTTTTGTTCAGGTGGTTCCGCTGGTCAATCCAGCAAAGAAGATTATTCTGTCCCAGGGCCCCCCGTTTGTCAGTAATGATGTTTTGTCCAAAGAACTGGGGAGACATGGTCAGCTCATGTCTCCATCTAAACTGGTTCCTCTGGGCTGCCAGTCTCCGCAGCTGAAGCATGTTGTGTCTTTTAGGAGGCAGGTCTATATGATTTTAAAGAACAACAACCAGGAGTTTAATATGGCTTTTCGTTTTAAAATTGATGGTTTTGATTATACAGTTTATGCATCATCTGAAAAGATGAAGTGTTTTGGGTGTGGCTCTGAGGGACATGTTGTTCGTGCCTGCCCAGAAAAACTACCGGAAGCAAACGGTGGGGCTGCAGCCAGTGCAACAG